CTCAGCTACTCGGGAGCTGAGGCAGAGAGACGGTAACAAAGCGAGAGCTCATTTTCAAAACAAAATAGAATACAATGCAAGTGCTAAGGAAGCAGAGTGACAGCGTCCCTCAGTGGGTTTGCCGGGACACTGCAGGGAGGCGGGTGGCTGGCCCTGCCCCCTTGCTCGGTCCTTCTATAGGCATAGACATGACAGGAACACACCACCAACCCAGGGAAGCCACCACCTGCTCCCCGCTGCATTCACTGTAAAAGAACACCAGCAGGTCGGCCCCATGTCCGCGGGCTGACGGAGCAGATCCCACACGGCCCTCGGCGTGGTTTGACACGAGCCACTCGTGGGTGCATGCTCAGATCCCGAACAGCATGGAGAGACAGTGGAGAAGGGATCGTGGCGTGGCCACGCCCCACGAGGGGTGCTTTCCCTTCTCTCTCTGTCTCTGTCTCTCTAGCGAGCACGCACGCACCCTAACCATACAAAGGGAAGGTGTGCATTTCTCTTCATTGCGTGAAGCCACGTGTGCACTAATGTACTAGAACATGGTTTACGGTGGGGAGCCTCTGCATTAGGAGGGTGAGCACGTAGCATGCGGCGTGGGAAGGCCACGGGAGACTCCCACGTCCGTGGTCTGCGGCCAGCCGGAGGGAGAGAGACCCGTGGGCATGGAGGCTGACTTTAGAACGCGCCCCAGGAGACAGCGATCCTCGGGACGCTCTGGAGGCTGCCAGGGCTCTCTGTGTGACCCTACATCTTCGACTGATCTGAAATGGAAGGTCGACAAGAGAAAAAAATAATAAAAAAGTAAACTTTGGACGCGTCGGCCTCGCGGGGTGCGCCGGGGGCCCAGGCGAAGGCAGCGTGCAGGTGTTGTTAATAGAAGGTGCGCTCTGGGCTCCGGGGGTGTGAGGCCGGTGTGGGGCCAGGGTTAGGATGGGTCAGGGGAGGGGCCCGGGATTCAGGAGGGGAGCGAGGAGGAGAGCGGGAGGAGGGGGGACCAGAAAGGCAGGAGGGAGAAAGGAGGGAGGGAAGGACGAGAGGACAGAGGACCGACTAGGGAAGGAAACCAATGACAGAGAGGGAGGGAGAAGAACGGGGGAGGAGAGGAGGAGGAAAGAGCCCGGAGGTGGGGAGAGAGAGGCCCAGGCAGAGCAGGAAACAGAGGCGAAGCTCGCTGGGGAGAGGGGAGGTGGCAGGACTCCCCCAGGAGCTCATTTCAGTGGAGACCCAGGAAGCTGTGCCCAGCTGGGACGTGGCTGACCCCACTGCAGGATCAGCCCCACCAGCCTCAGGACCAGCCCTGCACAGATGGGGACACAGCAAAGGCCTGCAGCCCGGCTCTGCGGGGACAGGCAGGCGGCACCCGTCCCCAGGCAGGTCCCGGCAGCCATGCGCCCTAAACCCAAGACACAGAGGCAAGCCCACACCAGAAGCAGCCCCACGGGCCCACGCCTGTCACACGGAGGTAACCTGGTGAGGCTCCCCTCACCGCCCAGCATGGCACCTCCTGCCTGCGAGGAAGCGTCCACGTTCACCCAGAACATGGCAGCGAATGCTTGCTTGCTTAGAACACCACGACAAACAGGACGCAGGGACTTTCACGACACACACGGAAAATGGAATTAAAGAACGCGGTCGTCCCGGTGCAGACTGGTTTGGGAATCCACATGTGATGGCTTCATAACATGCATCATCGAGGAGCTTCTCTTGTTATGAGAGATGTTTATAGGATGTGTGTGCTCCCCAGGGAGACAGAGACAGAGAGAAAGTGAGAAATCCCCCCCGGGGGAAGGATGCCCACACTGCAATCCCTCCTCCTCCTTTCTCCTCCTGGGATTTTGGGCATGCACGCACACGCGCCTGGCGTGAGTTTCGAGCTGCCGGGACTGGGACTTGAACTGCAGTCAGCCATGTGGGAGTCCAGTGCCTTGAGCACTAACCACTGGCTGGCCCGGCTTCATTTATTCTACTCTATCCTCTGTCACTCTTTGCTTTTGCTTCTCAGCCTTTTGCTTTGTGCATCTGCAGAAAGAAGTCATGAATCCCCGACAAAGCCAAGAACTTAAAACCAAGATGCAAAGGGCCACCTTCTGCTCTTTCCGTCTCAGAAGGTTACACACTATCAACTATTCGACGAAGTACACCCCATCTCTCCAGATCACTCACTGAACCCCAGACTACCCTGAGCCAGTTCCCAGATCGATGCTTTTGTGACATAGCCTCTACGCTAACTGCTGGTCCCAACCTCCTGTGTACTTTTAGCTGGGTCCGGGACTCGAACCATAGAGTCGGCCATGTGAGATCCACGTGCCGGGACCTCCACGCCACCAGCCATCCCCATTCCAGATTTGTACATCCTTGTCTCCGTGCGTTACTGTATTCCTAAATACAAATGCCTGACACTGGGAGATTTCTAAGAGAGAGGTTTGTTTGTATATTTATTTATATGATTTCTGCCTTGGGGCATATGCTCTCAATGCAGACAGACAGTGAGAAATCACCCTCCTGTGGGGACGGCCACACTGCAATCCCTTTTCTTCCATTCTTCTTCTGGGATTTTGGGCACACATGCCCAGATGCACACCCGACATGATATTTTTTATTTTTATTTTTTTTTTGCTATAGGGTGTGGGCACTCGCTGGAGAGACAGAGAGAGACATAGAGACAGAAAGTGAGAAATCAACCCTCAGGGGGGATGGCCACGCCACAGTCTCTTCTCCTCCATTCTCCTCTCTGGATCTTGGGCACGCATGCACACGCGCCCGGCGTGAGTTTAAGCCACCAGGTCCGGGACTCGAACCACGGTCGACTATGTGGGAGTCCAGCCACATAGCCATGACACTAACTGCTGGTCCCCCCCCATTGCATTTCATACCCAACCTGGAACGTGCTTGGGAGCTGACTGGTATTTAGTTGTAGAAGGGGAAGCAGCTGGTTTGTGTTTGGACTTAAACCCCACAAGGAGGCAGGAACCAATATGGCGGCCTCTTATGGCCTCCCATGGGCCTCCCAGCCCCTCCCAGGACCCTGTTCTCTTCTCTGTGGTTCTTGCTGTCATTGTCGTCTGTCAGAGGGCCCATGCACTCAGCAGAGTGAGAAAATGAAACAGAGAAAGGGGGCGGCCATGGTCATGCCCAGGTTCTTTGGCTGCGTTTGTCCACCTTGCAGAAATTCTGGAAACTGCGCACACGTGTGCCCAAGGACCAGGATTTGAACCACCGTCAGCCATGTGGGATTCAGGTCCCTCAAGCGCTGGGCTCTGGGCCGTCCTAGGGCTCTGTCGTCATGATGACACGGACATGGGGCCACAGTGGATAAATGACAAAGGCGAGCACTCCCCCAACTCACTTTCTGCCAGGCCACTTGCCAAGGCTTCCTGACCGCCGCCAGCCCTCACAGAGATGCGACAGCCCGTGACCCTCCTTCCCCACCGGACAGGGGTCGCCGTGAGCAGCAAAGCAGTTAGTGACCTGCCCGCGTCCCCACAGCATCCATGGCAGGGCATGCGACACGCACCCCGCAGGGTCTGCTCCCGAAGGCAGGGCTTCCCCGGACCACAGCCACCCTGCGCTGTGGTAAAGGCAGCCACGGGTCCCATTTTGTGTCTAAGCAGAGTGGTTCTCGGCCAGCTGGGCACTGGCCACCCACGCCTTACCGTTTTCCTTGAAGCAAAACTTCTTTTTCTGGTAAGCGATGAAGCTGGAAATGGCTCCGGCCACAGCCACCACCACGGCACCCACGATGCCGGGGACCACGCCAGGGGGACTGCCTGTGGGAGGAAGCCCCAGACACCAGGGTTAGGGACGCGCGAAGGGGAAGCCCACAGCAGGTGGCGGCTGGAGGACGCAGGTGGACGGTGCAAACTGCTCCACATCAGGGAAACCGATGCACCATTTCCCATCACAGTCATACTGGGTGGAGGACGCAGGGTGGACGGGGACGTGGGGAGGGAGAGAACAGATGCAGAAAGGCAGGTGGTGGGGCCAGCAGATGGCATAATGGCTATATCTCTGCACTCCCATGTATTTGACAGTGGTTCACCCCAGTGATCTGCTGGGTTCGGGACTTGAACCGCTGGACTTAAACTCACGCCAGGCATGTGTGCATGTGTACCCAAGATCCCGAGAGGAGAATGGAGGAGAAGGGATTCTGGTGTGGCCATCCTACATGGGGGGGAGGGGCAGTGATTTCTCGCTTTCTGTCTCTCTGTCTCTCTCTGTCTTTCTGGTGAGCGTGCGTGCCCTATAGCACAAACCTCTCCGAAAAAGAGAGAGAGAGAGAGTAAGAGAGGGAGAGTGAGAGGACGCCCCCCATGGGTGACGAGCACTTTACAATGGCTGGTCCTCTGTCTCTCCCTCCTTAGGGCATGCACACACACGTGCCCAGAGTGTTTCTCAAGCCTCCAAGTCTGGGACTCGAACCACTTGGCCAGCCCTGTGGGATCCAGTGTGTTCCCCATTAGGTTATGGGTTGGTCCACTGGTATATTTTCAGACTGACACCGGAACCCAAACCCGTGGCCAGCCACGTGGCTTCCAGCACTGTAGTCTAATTTGCTACAAATGTACCCACGAGGCTGGGGATGTAGGTAATCAATATATTCTTCTCTATAATGGAAAGGATTATGGAAATAAGATAATTATCTGTACATCCTGTCCAGAACACGATGGCTTATTTATTTATTTATATGTTTATTTATTTATTTTTAGAGATTTTTGTTATAGGGTGCGTACGCTTCCTAGAGACACAGAGAGAGACAGAAAGTGAGAAATCACCTCCCAAGGGGGATGGCCACACAGCAATCCATTCCCCTCTCAGGATTTTGGGCATGCACACACACATGCCCAGCGTGAGTTCCAAGCCGCCAGGTCTGGGACTCGAACCATAATCGAACACGTGGGAGTCCAGCACCTTAACCACCATGCCCCCTGCTGGCCCCAAGGATGAGTGTTATAACAGCGGGGAGGAAGTCACGCTCAGAGCTGTAACATCATCATTTGTTTCCCGAGGGCAGGTGGAACCCACGTCCCAGTGTAACAGGGCTCCTGACTCCATAGACAGAAGCGGAACTTCTCGGGGGCCCGAGGGACGAGATAGACTGTGTGGCTCGGGCCAGGTCACTGGGTGACACGTCAAAGATGCCGCTCACCGGCCACAGCAGATCAGGCAGGTGACCGAACAGAAAGTGGGGCATGGAGCAGCAGGTGGTACAGTGGTTAAGGTGGTGGACTCCCACATGGCCGACCGCAGTTCGAGTCCTGGACCTGCTAGCTTGCTTTCCTTTCTCTCTCTCTCTCTGTCTCTCTCTCTCGTGAGTTGCATAAGCCCTGCAGCAAATTTAAAAAATAATAAAGACCAGCAGATGGTGTAGTGGCTACATTCCACGTAGCCAACTGTGATTCAAACCCTGGATCTGGCGGCTTGAAACGCACACAGGCATGTGCATGCATGCCCCAAATCCTGAGAGGCGAATGGAAGAGATAGGATTGTGGCATGGCCAACCCCCTGATGGGTGATTGCATAAGCCCTGCAGCAAATTTAAAAAATAATAAAGACCAGCAGATGGTGTAGTGGCTACATTCCACGTAGCCAACTGTGATTCAAACCCTGGATCTGGCGGCTTGAAACGCACACAGGCATGTGCATGCATGCCCCAAATCCTGAGAGGCGAATGGAAGAGATAGGATTGTGGCATGGCCAACCCCCTGATGGGTGATTTTTTGCTTTCTGTTTCTCTGACTCTCTCTGTGTCTCCGGTGAGCACACGCACCCTATAGCAAAATTCTCTCTCTATAGTAATAATAATCATAAATTAAATCAATAATTTTTAAACAAAAAGAAAAGAAAGAAAAAGTGGGTCATAGGGCCACCTGCTCTGTGGTTGGGTGTGTTGGGGGGACTGCAGCCGTGACACGGTGGGGAGCATGTCACACACTCGACCACGCTCCAGACACCGTCTTTAGCAGGGAGATACCGGGCCGTGAGTGAGGTCCCCCGTCTTCCTCCCTCCTCCCAGCAAAGAAGAAAGGCTTCAGAAGCCACATACGTACCGCCTTCATCCTCTTTCCTCTGGCTTCCACCACCGTCACCACCCCCTGCAGAAGAACGAGACTCACTGAGAAAGTGCGTTGGGAAGATTCCGGGTGGAGGGGACATTTGAGGTGAGGATGAACTCCCTGGGCCTGGAGGTACCAAGGAACCTTGACAGAAGGGACCATGGAACCAACAGGGCCATCTGAAGATCAAGGAGTCCGTTTCAGTGACAGCCCTACTTGTCCCTATTCACATGGAGCTCATGTCACCTCCCAAGACTCCCATGCTGGGCTCCAGGAGCCCTGGCAGGTGCCTCAGAGAGCCTGTTGTCACTTACTGGGATAAAAGAACCCAAATCTGGAAGCCCACCCAAGACGCTGTCCATTGCTAGGGAGACCCAACACACCACCTAGGGATTCCCGAGTTCTCAGAACCTGTCAGTCTCACAAGGCTCATTACACAGGCAGTGAAGAGGAACCCTTTGCCTCTGGGTGTCTTCTTCCCGCCTTCCTTCCTCAGGACTGAGTGCTGCAGTGTTCCACCTACCTTTATCTTCTGTGCACACTGAACAGCTATAGCTGTACCTACCGTCTATCATCTATCTATCATCTATCTATCATCTATCTATCATCCATCATCTATCATCTATCATCTACCATCTATCAGTCATCTATCTATCTATCTATCTATCATCCATCATGTCTCTATCATCTATCTCTCTATATATATATATCTCCATCGTCCATCTATCTACTATATCTATCATCTATCTATCTATCTATCTATCTATCTATCTATCATCTATCTATCTATCTATCATCTATCTCTCTATCTCCATCTATCATCTATCTATCTACCTCTATCTACCATGTATCTGTCTATCTATCACTAGATCTATATCTATCTATCTATCTATGACCATCTATCATCTATCTACTATCTATCATCTATCTACTATCTATCATCTATCTATCATCCATCATCTATCTATCATCTATCTTCATCTATCATCTATCTATCTCTATCTATCTATCTCTATCTATCATCTATCTCTATCATCTATCTATCTCTTTCTATCATCTATCTCTTTCTATCATCTATCTCTATCTATCTCTATCTATCATCTATCTCTATCATCTGTCTATCTATCTCTATCTATCATCTATCTATCTCTATCATCTATCTATCTCTTTCTATCATCTATCTCTTTCTATCATCTATCTCTATCTATCTCTATCTATCATCTATCTCTATCATCTGTCTATCTATCTCTATCTATCATCTATCTATCTCTATCATCTATCTATCTCTTTCTATCATCTATCTCTTTCTATCATCTATCTCTATCTATCTCTATCTATCATCTATCTCTATCATCTGTCTATCTATCTCTATCTATCATCTATCTATCTCTATCATCTATCTATCTCTTTCTATCATCTATCTCTTTCTATCATCTATCTCTATCTATCTCTATCTATCATCTATCTCTATCATCTGTCTATCTATCTCTATCTATCATCTATCTATCTCTATCATCTATCTATCTCTTTCTATCATCTATCTCTTTCTATCATCTATCTCTATCTATCTCTATCTATCATCTATCTCTATCATCTGTCTATCTATCTCTATCTATCATCTATCTATCTCTATCATCTATCTATCTCTTTCTATCATCTATCTCTTTCTATCATCTATCTCTATCTATCTCTATCTATCATCTATCTCTATCATCTGTCTATCTATCTCTATCTATCATCTATCTATCTCTATCATCTATCTATCTCTTTCTATCATCTATCTCTTTCTATCATCTATCTCTATCTATCTCTATCTATCATCTATCTCTATCATCTGTCTATCTATCTCTATCTATCATCTATCTATCTCTATCATCTATCTATCTCTTTCTATCATCTATCTCTTTCTATCATCTATCTCTATCTATCTCTATCTATCATCTATCTCTATCATTATCTATCATCTATCTATCTATCTCTATCTCTCTATCTATCTCTATCTATCATCTATCTCTCTATCTATCTATCTATCTCTTTCTATCATCTACCTATCTATCTCTATCTATCTATCTCTATCACCTATCTATCATCTATCTATATCTATCTATATCTATCTATATCTATCTATCTCCATCTATCATCTATCTACTATCTATCTATCTATCTATCTATCTATCTATCATCTATCTATCTATATCTATCTCCATCTATCATCTATCTACTATCTATCTATCTATCTATCTATCTATCTATCTATCTATCTATCTATCTATCTATCTATCTATCTATCTATCTATCTATCTATCTATCTATCTATCTATCTATCTATCTATCTATCTATCTATCTATCTATCTATCTATCTATCTATCTATCTATCTATCATCTATCTATGTATCTATCATCTATCTATCTATCTCTACCTATATCTATCATCTATTTATTTCTATCTTATCTATCTTTGTATATCATCTATGTATCTATCTATATCTATTTATATTTATATCATCTATGTATCTAACTATATCTATTTGGATATAGACACAGGTGCTCCTCACCTTAGGAAGGGGTCACAAGCCCATGGTATATTAAAAATCTCATACAAGTAGGGGCCAGCAGCTGCCATGGTGGTTGAGGTGCTGGACTCCCACATGACCAACTATGATTTGAGTCCCTAGACCCTGATTGCTTGCTTTCTCACTTTCTCTCTCTCTCCTCTCTCTCTCTGTCTCTCTCTGTCTCTGGAGACCATATGTGCCCTATAGCAAATTTGATCATAATAATAATAATAATACATTTAAATAAGTAATTAAGGATATTTTTTAATGTTTAAAAAAAATCACACAAATCAAACATGCATTGAATACATTCAACCTACCGAACATCACAGCTCAGCCCAGCCCCAACCATCCAACGTGCCCAGAACACATGTGTTAACCCACAGTTGGGTAAAGTCACCTCATGTGAAACCTGATTTATGATAAAATGTTGACCCTCTCATGAACTTTATACCATAGTGAAAGCAAAACAAAATAGTGGCGTTTCTATTGAATACCTATCACGTTTTTATTCACATGAAATGGAAACAGCTTATGCAAGACCATCCTGAGTTGGGAACCTGCTAGAAATGCTTTGAATCCAGTCATTGTATAATTATCAAAAGACGTCTACACAATACTGTCTAGGGATTTACCCAGCAAACTATAAACTTGTGAGATCAAACTTAGTGTGTTTACTTACTGTCAGCCCATCAGCTTCTGTGCATGATTATGTAGTATTCACACACAAATTGCATGTTACACAGTTACATAGCTAGGATGCTGCCAGTTACACTATTGGGGATGCATGTTACACAGCTACAGGGCTAGAATGCTGCCTGTTACACTATTGGGGGTGCATGTTATACACCTACAGAGCTGGAGTCCTGCCAGCTACACTTTTAGAGATGCATGTACACAGCTACAGAGCTAGGGTGCTGCCAGTTACAGTATTTGAGATGCATATTACACAGCTACAGAGCTAGGATGCTGCCAGTTACAGTGTGGGGGGACACATGTTACACAGGTACAAAGATAGGGTGCTGCCGGTTACATTACTGGGTATGCATGTTACATTGCTAATGAGCTAGGATTCTGCCAGTTATCCTATTGGGGATGCATGTTATACAGCTACAGAGCTGGCATGGGTGTTGCACAGCTACAGAGCTGGGTTGCTGGCAGCTACACTATTGGGGATGCATGTTACACAGCTATAGAGTTAGAGTGGCTGCCTGTTACACTATTGGGGGTGCATTAATTACACAGCTACAGAGCTAGGGTACTTCCGGTCACATTCCTGGGGATGCATGTTACATAGCTACAGAGTTAGGATGCTGCCAGCTACCTTATTAGGGATGCATGTTACACAGCTACAGAGCTAAGATGCTGCCTATTACACTATTGAGGGCACATGTTATACAGCTACAGAGCTGAGATGCTGCCAGCTACACTACTGGGGATGCTTGGTACACAGCTATAGACCTAGGGTCCCGCTGGTTACACTATTCGGGATGCATGTTACACACCATAGAGCTGGGCTACTGCCTGCTACACTCAAAGTTGAGGCAATAGTGAATAACATAAATTGATGCAGACTGCACTACAAATCTATTTCAGTTACAAATGTTTATCAGTTACTGATTTGACTGGAGTCAATAGGGTCTACTACTCAGAAAAGTCGTAAGCTCAAGAGGAGGCTACTGAAGCACAGCATCTCACAATAAGTCCCTGAATAATGGAAAGAGATTTATAATCCTTGGGAAACTAATTAATCAATCTATGCCAATCAGCAATAATCCAGCCATCCATGAGTCATAAATGAAAATAGTTTCAGTAGTGTTGAACAGGGACCAGCCAGAAATGAGCCAGCATTCTCTTAAATGAGAAGTCCATAAATGATTGCAAAGCTCTGGAAAGCACTTTAGCAGCCCACCACAGGATTTAAAAGTGATGAGTCCTTTAAGAAACCGCACTTCTGGGCCAGCAGTTGGCTTAGAAGTTAAGGCACTGGAGCCCACATGGCCAGCTGTGTGGTCTGAGTCCTACACCCAGCAGTCTGTGTCCACATGCTCAAGAGCAGACTAGAGGAGAAGGGGTTGCAGTGTGACTATCTTCCCTAGGGTAGGGATTTCTCACTTTCCCTCTCTTTCTCTCTGTCTCTCTCTGGAGAGTGCATGCACCCTATAGCAAAAGCCTAAAAATTAAAAATAAGAAGAAGAAAAGAAATCCCACTTTTAGAAAACTGCCTTAGGGAATGATAGTTGGGGGTACCCATTATAATGTGCAAGGACGTGCCGGGCTATGATCAGAACAGAACCTGGAATAACCTACATGTACTGGGGTCGGCCTTCCTCTAGGGGGCAGGCTGCACCCTCCACATCCCTGCAGGGTCTATGCACGGAGGATCTTCCAAAGAGATTTCTACCATGTGACTTCACAGGGGGCTAGGTCCGGGATTCAGTGGGATAGGTGGGCATTATGGGATGGAGGAGGAAAAAAGACAGAAGACGGGATGACTGTACCTCCTCCACCTCCTTCTGGAACAGCATCCGCAAGTTCTTTATCTGAAAAGCCACCTCCTGGAAATGAAAACACAGTTGTCATTGGTCACACTGGAACCATAGGGAAGGCGTCTTGGCATCTTGGAACAAAGGCAAAACATTATTAGAATCAAAAGCAAGTTGACCTTCAGGGGCATGGTCAGTAGTACACTGAAATACATAGTCAGTGCTGGAAGCCATGTGGCTGGCTGTGGGTTCAAATCCCCAGCCCGGGTGATCTGATACATAGCCATGAGTCTGAGCACGTATGCCCAAGGTCCTGCTAAGATGGAGGGCTGGAGAAAGGGAGGCAACCACAGTGGGGGGAGACCCTGCTGAGGGTGCTTCCCTTCCTCTCTCTCTCTCTCTCTCTCTCTCTCTCTCTCTCTCTCCTGCATGCACTCTTTAAAAGACACAAAAACTTTAAAAATGGGAATCCATGGGGCCAGTGGGTGGCAGGTGGTTAAGGCACTAGACTCCCACGTGGTCCACATGGAAAACTTAATGGACGTGTAAGCTGTATTCATAAAAGCAGGAAAAACAAACAATTTAGAAAAATACATTTAAAGACATAATTGGGAGAGAGAAGCACATAAAAGAATCGAATCACAAGGAAAAAGGCTCCATTTTGCAAACCTGTCAGCACGCTACAAATTGATTTATGGCTGTACACAACTCAAGCAGAAATAAAAGGATTCTGTTTTTCTCAAGAAGAAAGATTGTCAATGACAAAATGATTCCAAAGTTAAATGGAAAAAGATTAAAAAGCCCCAGAAAGCAGGGCAGACTTACAATGTGAAAGACACCCTGAAGGAAAACTTTACAGTCTTGCTTCTCAAAAATTACTGCTAAGTGGCTGGATGGTGACTCAGTGGTAAAAGACAATGTTCTGGGGGACAGCAGGTGGCATGGTAGTTAAGGCACTGGACTCCCACATGGCCAACGGTAGTTTGAGTCCCAGACCCAGAGGCTTGAAACTCACACTGCGTGCATGTGCCCAAAAGCCCAAGAGGAGAATGGAAGAGAAAGGATTGAAGCATGGCCATCCCCTTCAGGAAAGGAATTCTGAGTTTCTCTCTATGTGTGTCTCTCTCTGTCTCTCTGGTAAGTGCATGTGATCTATCGCAAAAATCTCTCTCTAAAACAAACAAACAAACAAACAAACAAACAAAAAACAGCAAAACAGATTCCAGATCCAACAGTTCAAATCCCAGACCTGCACTGGAAAATCACGCCAGACATGTGTGTTTGTGCCCAAAATCCCAAGGGAAGAATGGAAGAGAAGGGATGACAGCATGGCTATCCCACTTGTACTTTCCTTCTCTCCGTCTCCACAAAGGGCACACGCCCTATGGCATGAAATCTAAATAAATAAACAAAATTAAAAAAAAAAAAGACTAAAAATCAAACCCAAGCCAAAAGTAGCTCTTTGAAAAGCTACGTATTCCACTGCTTGAACATCAGAATTTCCTTGTACAGACAGAAAAAAACACATGCTAATCTGAAAGGATCCCATGAGCTGACACAAATATCACCCTGAACAGTGTACACCGATGACCCCAGGCGTCTTTTTTTTTTTTTTTTTTAGGAGATATTTTGGCTATCTGATTGCATACATTTGCCAGAGAGACAGAAAGTGAGAAACCACCCCCCAGGGGGGATGGCCATGCCACAATTCCTTCTCCTCCATTCTCCTCTCAGGATTTTGGGCATGTACACACACACACCCGGCATGAGTTTTACACTGCTGGGTCTGGGACTCGAACTACGATCAACTATGTGGGAGTCCAGTGACATAACCATTATGCCATCTGCTGGTCCCAGGTTTGACGTTCTTACCAGAGGTTCCAGGTTGGTTGGGATTCTGATCTGGCTTCGGCCTGGGTGGGTAAGGTTGTGGTGCGGGGTTGTCTGTTTGATGAGAATGGCAGTGTGAGTGCTTTGTAGAGAAGAAAACCAAACCTCAGTTTGCCCGCAGAGATGGATTGCTGAACAGCTGGAAATCCAACGTCATCCTCTGACATGGGGGGGATAGCAGTACACACAGCCCCCTGCCAGGTCCCTTCCATCGTCTTCCAGCTACCATCACCGTCCCTCAGTATCTGCAGGAGAATGGTTCCAGGATCCTCCCACCCACTTCGGATACCAAAATCGAGGATGTTCTAGTCCGTTACACAAGGCAGCATATAATCTATGCACACCCTCGCATATGCTGTAAAGTGTGTCTATATTACTTACCATTAATACCCAGTACAATGTAAATATTGTGAATAGTAGTTAGTCTGTGTGCAGATAGATAGGTAGATAAAGAGGTGTGTATTGTTTTGTTTTGGTTTAGTTTTATTTTGCCAAGGGCATGTGCACTCACCAGAGAGAGAGAGAGAGAAAGTGAGAAATCACCCCCAGGGAGGATGGTCACACCACAATCCCTTTTCCCTTCTCCTCCTGGAAATTTGGGCACAGATGTTCATGCAACTGATGCAATTTTCAAGATGCCAGATTGAGAAGTCAAACCACTGTTGGTCATGTGGGAGTCCACGGCCTTAACCACCATGCCACCTGCTGGCCCCTGGTTGTATATTTTTCATTCATATTATGTTTTACTATTATGTATATTATCTATCTATTTATTTACTTACTTACTTTTGGAATACTTTTGATCCATGACTGGTTGACTCCACAGATGCAGAACCCATGAATATATATGGAGGACTTGGTGTATTTAACTTTATGAATTTCCAAAGGAAACTAGAGCAGCTGTCCAGACCACCTACCGACTCTGCAGGGTGCAGTGCAAGAAGAAAATGAGGGGGCCCCAGTTCACACAGTGCTGCATGAAGAATTTCAAAATGGCGGCCAATGAGTGCTAAGCTGATATGGTGCACCTGTGAGCGCAGAACCCTCTGTGGTCCTGCACACGTCACACACCCATGAAGCCAGCCCTGGTGAGGGTGGTCACATCGGCCTTTATATCATGCCAGAGATGGTTGAAACTTAAATATAAAATATGCATATTTTGGACCAGCAGTGCACACTGCTGACTCAGAATGCTTGACATTCTTACCAGAGGTTCCGGGTTGGTTGGGGTTCCGGTCTGGCTTTGGCCTGGGTGGATAAGGTTGTGGTGCAGGGTTGTCTGTTTGCAAAAGATGAGAATGGCAGCATGAGTACTTTGCAGAAAAGCAAACCAAACCTCAGTTTGCCCACAGAGATGGATTGTTAAACAGCTGGAAATCCAATGTCATCCTCTGGTATGGTGGGGATAGCAGTGCACACAGCCCCCTGCCAGGTCCTTCCCATCGTCTTCCAGCTACCATCGCCGTCCCTCAGTATCTGCAGAGGAATGGTTCTGTATCCTCCCATCCGTTTTGGATACCAAAACTGAAGGATGTTCAAGTCCCTTACACTAAACAGCATATAATCTATGCACATCCTCCTGCATACTGTAAAGCGTGTCTATATTACCATTAATAATAATAATATCTAATACAATGTAAATACTGTGTGAATAGTAGTTAATTTAACATTCAAAGTTAGTTATTTATTTATTTATTTATTTATTTATTTATTTTTGCCAAAGAGCATGTGCACTTGCCAGAAAGAGACAGAGACAGAGACAGAGACAGGGAAAGTGAGAACTCAGCCTTTTAAAGGAATGAATGCCACAGTCCCTTCTCCTCCATTCCTTTCTTGGGACTTTGGCACATATGCATATACACCTACGACAATTTTCAAGCCATCCAGTCTGGGATTCGAATCATGGTCCATGATGCAGGAGCACAACGCCTCAACCACTGCCCCACCTGCTGGCCCCAGACCGCTTTACATTCGTGTCGTGTTTCACTGTTACGTACACTACATATTTATTCATTTATTTACTTCTGCGATAGTTTTGGTCCATTACTGGTTGACTCCATAGATGCCGAACTCATGGATATATACGGAGGACTCGGTGTACTTAGCTTTATGAGTTTCCAAAGGAAACCAGAGCAGCTGTCCAGGCCAGCTACAGACTCTGCAGGGCCCAGTGCAAGAGGAAAATGGCAGTCCCCAGTTCACACAGCGCTGTATGAAGAATTTCAAAATGGCGGCCAAGGAGTGCTAAGCCGATATGGTGCACCTGTGAGCATGGGATCCTCTGTGGTCCTGCACATGCCACATACCCATGAAGCCAGCCCCGGTGAGGGTACCCACATCTGCTTTTGCCTTATTGCAAAGATAGTTAGAAGTTTAACATAAAAATATGCATCTTGGGGCCACCAGGTAGCATCATGGTTGAGGCATTGGACTCCTGCATGGCCAACCATGGTTCGAGTCCCAGACCCGGTGACTTACTTTCTCACTTTCCCTCCCTTTCTCTATATCTCTCTCATCAAATTTTAAAATAACAATACATTAATAAAATAAAATAAAAATATGCATTTTTCTGGGCCAGCAAATGGTGTGGTGGCTAAGATGGATGGATTCCATACGACCAACTCTGCAGTTTGGTTCCCAGACCCGGCAGTGTGAGAAACACGCCAGATGTGTGTGCGTGTATGCCCAAAATCCCAAAAGGAGAATGGAGGAGAAGGGACTGAGGCATGATCATCTGTGAAAGACACCCTGAAGGAAAACTTTACAGTCTTGCTTCTCAAAAATTACTGCTAAGTGGCTGGGTGGGGACTCCGTGGTAAAAGACAATGTTCTGGGGAAAAGACAATGTTCTGGGGGACAGCAGGTGGCATGGTAGTTAAGGCACTGGACTCCCACATGGCCAACGGTAGTTTGAGTCCCAGACCCAGAGGCTTGAAACTCACACTGGGTGCATGTGCCCAAAATCCCAAGAGGAGAATGGAAGAGAAAGGATTGAAGCATGGCCATCCCCTTCAGGAAAGGAATTCTGAGTTTCTCTCTATGTGTGTCTCTCTCTGTCTCTCTGGTAAGTGCATGTGATCTATCGCAAAAATCTCTCTCTAAAACAAACAAACAAACAAACAAACAAACAAAAAACAGCAAAACAGATTCCAGATCCAACAGTTCAAATCCCAGACCTGCACTGGAAAATCACGCCAGACATGTGTGTTTGTGCCCAAAATCCCAAGGGAAGAATGGAAGAGAAGGGATGACAGCATGGCTATCCCACTTGTACTTTCCTTCTCTCCGTCTCCACAAAGGGCACACGCCCTATGGCATGAAATCTAAATAAATAAACAAAATTAAAAAAAAAAAAGACTAAAAATCAAACCCAAGCCAAAAGTAGCTCTTTGAAAAGCTACGTATTCCACTGCTTGAACATCAGAATTTCCTTGTACAGACAGAAAAAAACACATGCTAATCTGAAAGGATCCCATGAGCTGACACAAATATCACCCTGAACAGTGTACACCGATGACCCCAGGTGTCTTTTTTTTTTTTTTTTTTAGGAGATATTTTGGCTATCTGATTGCATACATTTGCCAGAGAGACAGAAAGTGAGAAACCACCCCCCAGGGGGGATGGCCATGCCACAATTCCTTCTCCTCCATTCTCCTCTCAGGATTTTGGGCATGTACACACACACACCCGGCATGAGGTTTACGCTGCTTGGTCTGGGACTCGAACTACGATCAACTATGTGGGAGTCCAGTGACATAACCATTATGCCATCTGCTGGTCCCAGGTTTGACGTTCTTACCAGAGGTTCCAGGTTGGTTGGGATTCTGATCTGGCTTCGGCCTGGGTGGGTAAGGTTGTGGTGCGGGGTTGTCTGTTTGATGAGAACGGCAGTGTGAGTGCTTTGTAGAGAAGAAAACCAAACCTCAGTTTGCCCGCAGAGATGGATTGCTGAACAGCTGGAAATCCAACGTCATCCTCTGACATGGGGGGGATAGCAGTACACACAGCCCCCTGCCAGGTCCCTTCCATCGTCTTCCAGCTACCATCACCGTCCCTCAGTATCTGCAGGAGAATGGTTCCAGGATCCTCCCACCCACTTCGGATACCAAAATCGAGGATGTTCTAGTCCGTTACACAAGGCAGCATATAATCTATGCACACCCTCGCATATGCTGTAAAGTGTGTCTATATTACTTACCATTAATACCCAGTACAATGTAAATATTGTGAATAGTAGTTAGTCTGTGTGCAGATAGATAGGTAGATAAAGAGGTGTGTATTGTTTTGTTTTGGTTTAGTTTTATTTTGCCAAGGGCATGTGCACTCACCAGAGAGAGAGAGAGAGAAAGTGAGAAATCACCCCCAGGGAGGATGGTCACACCACAATCCCTTTTCCCTTCTCCTCCTGGAAATTTGGGCACAGATGTTCATGCAACTGATGCAATTTTCAAGATGCCAGATTGAGAAGTCAAACCACTGTTGGTCATGTGGGAGTCCACGGCCTTAACCACCATGCCACCTGCTGGCCCCTGGTTGTATATTTTTCATTCATATTATGTTTTACTATTATGTATATTATCTATCTATTTATTTACTTACTTACTTTTGGAATACTTTTGATCCATGACTGGTTGACTCCACAGATGCAGAACCCATGAATATATATGGAGGACTTGGTGTATTTAACTTTATGAATTTCCAAAGGAAACTAGAGCAGCTGTCCAGACCACCTACCGACTCTGCAGGGTGCAGTGCAAGAAGAAAATGAGGGGGCCCCAGTTCACACAGTGCTGCATGAAGAATTTCAAAATGGCGGCCAATGAGTGCTAAGCTGATATGGTGCACCTGTGAGCGCAGAACCCTCTGTGGTCCTGCACACGTCACACACCCATGAAGCCAGCCCTGGTGAGGGTGGTCACATCGGCCTTTATATCATGCCAGAGATGGTTGAAACTTAAATATAAAATATGCATATTTTGGACCAGCAGTGCACACTGCTGACTCAGAATGCTTGACATTCTTACCAGAGGTTCCGGGTTGGTTGGGGTTCCGGTCTGGCTTTGGCCTGGGTGGATAAGGTTGTGGTGCAGGGTTGTCTGTTTGCAAAAGATGAGAATGGCAGCATGAGTACTTTGCAGAAAAGCAAACCAAACCTCAGTTTGCCCACAGAGATGGATTGTTAAACAGCTGGAAATCCAATGTCATCCTCTGGTATGGTGGGGATAGCAGTGCACACAGCCCCCTGCCAGGTCCTTCCCATCGTCTTCCAGCTACCATCGCCGTCCCTCAGTATCTGCAGAGGAATGGTTCTGTATCCTCCCATCCGTTTTGGATACCAAAACTGAAGGATGTTCAAGTCCCTTACACTAAACAGCATATAATCTATGCACATCCTCCTGCATACTGTAAAGCGTGTCTATATTACCATTAATAATAATAATATCTAATACAATGTAAATACTGTGTGAATAGTAGTTAATTTAACATTCAAAGTTATTTATTTATTTATTTATTTATTTATTTATTTATTTTTGCCAAAGAGCATGTGCACTTGCCAGAAAGAGACAGAGACAGAGACAGAGACAGGGAAAGTGAGAACTCAGCCTTTTAAAGGAATGAATGCCACAGTCCCTTCTCCTCCATTCCTTTCTTGGGACTTTGGCACATATGCATATACACCTACGACAATTTTCAAGCCATCCAGTCTGGGATTCGAATCATGGTCCATGATGCAGGAGCACAACGCCTCAACCACCGCCCCACCTGCTGGCCCCAGACCGCTTTACATTCGTGTCGTGTTTCACTGTTACGTACACTACATATTTATTCATTTATTTACTTCTGCGATAGTTTTGGTCCATTACTGGTTGACTCCATAGATGCCGAACTCATGGATATATACGGAGGACTCGGTGTACTTAGCTTTATGAGTTTCCAAAGGAAACCAGAGCAGCTGTCCAGGCCAGCTACAGACTCTGCAGGGCCCAGTGCAAGAGGAAAATGGCAGTCCCCAGTTCACACAGCGCTGTATGAAGAATTTCAAAATGGCGGCCAAGGAGTGCTAAGCCGATATGGTGCACCTGTGAGCATGGGATCCTCTGTGGTCCTGCACATGCCACATACCCATGAAGCCAGCCCCGGTGAGGGTACCCACATCTGCTTTTGCCTTATTGCAAAGATAGTTAGAAGTTTAACATAAAAATATGCATCTTGGGGCCACCAGGTAGCATCATGGTTGAGGCATTGGACTCCTGCATGGCCAACCATGGTTCGAGTCCCAGACCCGGTGACTTACTTTCTCACTTTCCCTCCCTTTCTCTATATCTCTCTCATCAAATTTTAAAATAACAATACATTAATAAAATAAAATAAAAATATGCATTTTTCTGGGCCAGCAAATGGTGTGGTGGCTAAGATGGATGGATTCCATACGACCAACTCTGCAGTTTGGTTCCCAGACCCGGCAGTGTGAGAAACACGCCAGATGTGTGTGCGTGTATGCCCAAAATCCCAAAAGGAGAATGGAGGAGAAGGGACTGAGGCATGATCATCTTCCTTGGGGGGGTGATTTCTCACTTTCTCTCTCTCTTTTTCTTTCTGGCCAGTGCATATGTCCTATATGGCAAAAATAAAAAACCAAACAATAAAAGAGATATACCTCTTGAAAATACTAAGAATTTTGTGAAAATAAGTCAGGAACACAGAGCTTTAAAAGAGTTACTCACCATTTCCCCCACCACCAAGGGCATCTTCTAAATTCAAGTCATGGTCTACAGGAGAGAAAGGAGCATTTAATGGCAAGGTTCTCCATGTAAGGAGGAAGGGGAGGGCTTTGTGCACAGGTGGGGGACACTCCTCTTCCCCACATTCCTCTCAAGGCTTTGCTGATTATCAGCCTGCCCAGGGTCTCCTTAGAAACAACAAATTCTGGGACCAGCAGTTGATGTAATGGCTATGTCACTGAACTCCCATGTAGTCGACCATGGTACGAGTCCCAGACCCGGTGGCTTAATGGTTGGTGGCGTGGCCACCCCGCCGGGGGGGGGGGGGGGGGGCGTGATTTCTCTCTTTCTGTCTCTCTGTCTTTCTCTGTCTTTCTGGCGAGTACACACGCCACGCCGCAAAAACCTCTAAAACAGTAAAAAGAAAGAAAGAAAGAAAAAGAAAGAAAGAAAGAAAGAAAGAAAGAAAGAAAGAAAGAAAGAAAGAAAGAAAGAAAGAAAGAAAGAGAAAGAAAGAAAGAAAGAAAGAAAGAAAGAAAGAAAGAAAGAAAGAAAGAAAGAAGAAAGAAGAAGAAAGAAAACCTGCTGGCCCCAGACCGCTTTACATTCGTGTCGTGTTTCACTGTTACGTACACTACATATTTATTCATTTATTTACTTCTGCGATAGTTTTGGTCCATTACTGGTTGACTCCATAGATGCCGAACTCATGGATATATACGGAGGACTCGGTGTACTTAGCTTTATGAGTTTCCAAAGGAAACCAGAGCAGCTGTCCAGGCCAGCTACAGACTCTGCAGGGCCCAGTGCAAGAGGAAAATGGCAGTCCCCAGTTCACACAGCGCTGTATGAAGAATTTCAAAATGGCGGCCAAGGAGTGCTAAGCCGATATGGTGCACCTGTGAGCATGGGATCCTCTGTGGTCCTGCACATGCCACATACCCATGAAGCCAGCCCCGGTGAGGGTACCCACATCTGCTTTTGCCTTATTGCAAAGATAGTTAGAAGTTTAACATAAAAATATGCATCTTGGGGCCACCAGGTAGCATCATGGTTGAGGCATTGGACTCCTGCATGGCCAACCATGGTTCGAGTCCCAGACCCGGTGACTTACTTTCTCACTTTCCCTCCCCTTCTCTATATCTCTCTCATCAAATTTTAAAATAACAATACATTAATAAAATAAAATAAAAATATGCATTTTTCTGGGCCAGCAAATGGTGTGGTGGCTAAGATGGATGGATTCCATACGACCAACTCTGCAGTTTGGTTCCCAGACCCGGCAGTGTGAGAAACACGCCAGATGTGTGTGCGTGTATGCCCAAAATCCCAAAAGGAGAATGGAGGAGAAGGGACTGAGGCATGATCATCTTCCTTGGGGGGGTGATTTCTCACTTTCTCTCTTTTTCTTTCTGGCCAGTGCATATGTCCTATATGGCAAAAATAAAAAACCAAACAATAAAAGAGATATACCTCTTGAAAATACTAAGAATTTTGTGAAAATAAGTCAGGAACACAGAGCTTTAAAAGAGTTACTCACCATTTCCCCCACCACCAAGGGCATCTTCTAAATTCAAGTCATGGTCTACAGGAGAGAAAGGAGCATTTAATGGCAAGGTTCTCCATGTAAGGAGGAAGGGGAGGGCTTTGTGCACAGGTGGGGGACACTCCTCTTCCCCACATTCCTCTCAAGGCTTTGCTGATTATCAGCCTGCCCAGGGTCTCCTTAGAAACAACAAATTCTGGGACCAGCAGTTGATGTAATGGCTATGTCACTGAACTCCCATGTAGTCGACCATGGTACGAGTCCCAGACCCGGTGGCTTACGGGTCAACTCATGCTGGGCGCATGTGCATACGTGCCCAAGATCCCAAGAGGAGAATGGAGGAGAAGGGATTGTGGCGTGGCCATCCCTCCGGGGCGGGGG